TGTCACTTAGTATATTAAAATGCAACACCCAGAATTATTTATTGAATTTTGATAGAAACTTGTAGACATATTTGCTAGCATGGAAGTAAACGCTGATAAAACGTTGAAGGCATTCCGAATTTTGAGCCGTAGCCTTTTTGTAAAGATTTTTTAGTCATACCAGGACCCAAAAAACGTGAACACGTTTACTCAACATTCCTTGATTTATCTGTGTTGGTTCCATTTGTTTCATTGTTGTTTCATTGCACTATCAGCAGACCTAGGCCCGTATCGTCAGTCGTCCCTACAATTGTAGGGCGCGTTTATGGCCTCCTTGATTGTCATCGTCCTTTCTCTCCTTCTAAAATTTCTAGATTACACTTGTCCCGTGTCAGCGTCAGCGCTGTCCTGTTGTGAAGATATGTTTTCTTTTTAAATTGTAGGAAATTTCAGGCTGATAAAACATGATATAACTCAAAAGCAAGCACAATTTGATGCAAATAGATGTTTGTGACATAACCTCAAAATAGAGTTCTGACACGGAGAAGCAGAAAACTATGACAATCAAGGAGGCCATAAAGGCGCCCTACAATTGTAGGGACCACTGACGATACGGGCCCTAAGACTTGTGAAAGTATACTCAAAATTACAGCACGTCTAGTCGGTGTTGCATTTTCTACGTTATTTAGCAACAAATTTCAGAGTGTTAGACTACCTGGAAGACGCCTGAGGAAGTGTTTTGTGGAGCTGTGCAGCGACTCATTAACATACTTCTTTTGAATCTGAGTCCTTCAATTTTTTAGATACGTGTCTTTTTTACTAATAGTGTTAGTTGCTTATGGTTTTTTTTATACTCCAACTACCACGAAGGCCTAAGGCCTAAACACCCATTGGGTACCGTGGGGCTATAGGGGGATACAGGGGAAAGGGGGACGCTACACGGACGAGGGAACACGTGTGCATGCAACACATTCACACATTCTGGCTCCGCCTACGAAATCCGCCGGGTGATACCTCCACGTTCGACAGTCAGAGACCGTCTACCACCTACGGACAATCACAACATCCATAGCCAAGAGAAAAATTTCTCCTAGCACGAGACTCGTACCCGCACAGCGCACGGCGACTGATCAGGAGACCGAAGAGTCTACTACTGCGGCCACCGCTGTTGGGAAAAAGCTAGCCTAGTTGTTTAGGGTTAAGAAGTACTGTTCTCCGCATGACCTTCTCGCTCTTTACAAGGCCCAGATAAGGCCTAGCCTCGAGTATTGCTCACATTTGGTTGTATGTACATGAGTGTTTTTACTATGATATGTGTATTTATTCCTGTATATCCTGACATATCTTATATAATGCGTATATGACCAACATACAATATAACTTCTATTGCTATTAATAGCATCAGTTGTACAAAGTTTCACGATAAACATAGAGAGCAGTCATCTGTTTTATTTGCATATCATTGTTAACCTCTATACTGTTGTATATAGTTGTACAGAAAGCTTATAACTGCTATTTTGTACTAGTAGCACTGTCAAGAGTGGACCTGTTGTGAGGACGTTTGACAGTTTCTAACTTCACTTCGGTCATGGTGCACTATTAGCACGGGTATTATTACTCTTGTTTTAACTATTATACTCGTAAGAAGATAGGCTTCTTAATTTTCCAACAGAAGCTAGTAAGCGATCAACATAGTTCAATATGGCAAAACACAAAAAACAGACAGAGTAGTGAGAAGCAGATTGTCAGAGGGTGTCTCTCTGAGAAACGTCAATGCATTGAAATTCCGTTGAATAGGTGTCAGTCAAGCATAAATTCAGGTCTATAGTTTCACAAATATAGTAATAGCTATTTAATATTAGTTACAAATTGACAAAAATATTTTTTTTGCTAATGGAATGAAACTAAGCTATTTTTTTCAACTCAAAAATACCTAAACAATAAATTTTGAAACACTTTGCGTTAGTGTGCTCAAATTTGGGACTTTTCTGTACATGGCGAATAGAAAAATTAGCAGTTTTTTCAGTAACATAATATACATATAAGTTTTAAGATTACTGTATCAATTAAACCTAAACAAAACCTAACCTGGCGTACGCGTACTCTATACATCAGTTCTAAAACAAAACAAATCAATAATGGCACGTTCATCGGCAATATCGGAGTTACTATTTGAATACGGTAAGTGTCATCGAAATGTCACCGAGGTTTCACGAGTACAGGCAGATCGTTTTTCAAGATCCTTCGAGATTTCTTGTTTTGTTAGGGGCAAAGTGAAATGTTCAGTGTATAAAACTGAGGTAAACATGGTTGACGAACTGCGTGTGCGAATCAAGCAATCTCCTGCATTCATTCGGCAACATAAGTCTATTCTAAAGTCCTTCACCGATACTTGGCTACGTTGAGCATAAACACGTGTCTTTGAATCTGTCGCAGACAACAACAATATCTACAAGTGGCAGAGCTTCTTCTGGATTAACATTAAGTACTTTTTCATTTATTTTTTTTACTTTTTCGCTGTTGCTGCACCACATATCAGCGTTGCTGCTACAAACGTAGTTGTTTCTGAGTTCCAAATTTCAGGTCACTCTGTATTTAAACACTTCTAGCCCTGGTAATTATACACGCTTATTAGACAAATTTCAGGCATCACAGATTTTCAAACAGAAGGTATGGCAACATTGTTGAGTAGGTGGACTACCTGTACAGATCTGTTTGACTAACTTCAGCCATCACATTTGTTTTGCTGCACAAACCCTTTACTCACTTTGTTCCTCGGAGGGGCTAATTTGTACTGAACATAATTATTTACGAACTCGTGCCAGTGTTGCGTGGGAGGTGCAGAGTCAGCCTACTTGATGCCATTGTTTGCAGAGCCTAGATAAGGCTTAGGGCAAGACAGTTATCGCGGGCAAAGTGAATATCCTGTGCTACATCAAAATCATGTACCATCAGGAAAAAAGTACTTAGACATATTCGTACAACCTTTTTCTGTGATCGGCAACCAGGTGTAGGAGAATACACGTGCTAACTTTGCTACCAGTTATCTAAATGTTTTTCTTCAACAGAAATATTGATTTTACGAGATAGGTGACCTGTTTATGATTACAATTCCAGACCATCTATTTGGACAGCTTTTCAAGGTATTTAACGTAGTACAGGACTTCCTCACTCATATAAATGAGCATGATTGGTTCGATGGCTTTAGTAGGAAATAAGAAGATTCCTAACTAACTTCAGGCAAACCGGATAGGGCAATGTGGATACTGTGTTTACCCACAACATCAGCTTTATTGTTGGTAAATTTGAAAGTATATTTTGGTGCAGATAGTGTACATGTAGAGGAAATAAAACCAGTTAAATCATCGACGCTCTTTTCATAGGTGTCGCCGATTAAAACCGACCAGCGACTCAACGCTCGCAATTTTCCGCCCTTAGAAAATTCAAATGAAAGTATAAGTAACAATCAAATATAGCCTAAGTTACTTAGGAATAACGAAGCTTTCAGCTGGTGAAATAATCTTCAATGTCGGTTCAGTAGTACCAGAGATTAGTTCCTGCAGACAAACTCGCAAACTTTAACACTTTGTATTATTATAGATTGTTTCAAAAGGTTCACAATTTTGACACTTTTGCCCATTACTCATTGAACTTTTAAAAAGACAACCAAGTTCCAAGAAAGAAGAATATCAATGGAAGTCTAAAATAGATGGATTCTGAAATATTTAAATGCAAAAATCGCAGTTACTTTCAGGACCAAAAATCCCTGAATACTCTTTCTGGAAGTAAATTGTTCTATCGCAGTAAAGGAGGTTTAAATGGTGATTAAGGCCGATTACCAGCGAGTGAAATTACTACCTTTATAGTTTGTTGCCTAATGGCACTTTGTCACTCCAGAAAAAGTGTCTGGTTTATGTACAATATCTCATATAAAAGTACTTATTCGGGTAAAGTACGATGTATCTATGTTATCCCGTATTTGTCACTTTAAAAGGAGTTATCTACGTAAACGGTTTGAGCCAAAGTATGACAAAAGAAGAAAAAGTATAAATATATATATATAATATATATATTTTTTAATTCTGGGAAATCAAACTCAGAAATTGCAACATTGTCAGACTTATCGCGGTACAGTGTGAGAGATATTGTTAGAAGATATAACGTAACTGGTTCAGTTAATACTAAGCCACGACAGAATAATATATAATATATAAGAATAATCGTGAAAAGCAGGCGTGCCAATTATTTACAATTAAGTGGTCTGTGGAGTGACGATGTTGGAAGGAGAATTTTGAGGTCCACAACTCATAGAGAGGCCCACAAACTGGGATTTAGTACTTGCAAGGTAAGTTTTCTTATAAAAAAAGTTAAGTAAAAACCCTAAAGTTGCACAACTTGTTTATAGTGCAAAGAAAAGCCACCATTAACTCCACTGCAAAAGAAAAATCGGCTTAGATGGGTCAAAGAACAGAGACAGTGGACACCTCAACAATGGTGTGCAATACAATGGAGTGATGAGGCCCGATTCGAAGTTTGTGTTGGTGACAGTCGCAGTAGAGTTATTCGCAAAAAAAATGAAGCATTCCATGTTGACTGTCTGAAGAGAAAAGTGACATTTCCAGCATCTATTATGGCCTGGAGCAGTATGTCATCAAAATGAGTAGGAAAACTTCATTTTATTGATGGAAATGCGGATACAAACTAATATTTGGTAATTTTAGAAGAATCGCTTTTACCTGTGACGGAAGAATGTTTGACGTCCGGCCAAGATTTTATGTTTCAGCAAGATGGTGCAGCGTACCGTACCTCAAAAAGGCTATAAAATGGATGGAAGAAAATAATGTACCACTTTTGAAATGGGTTTCTAGAAGTCCAGATCTGTCACCTATTGAAACTTTGTGTCACGAAATGAAAAAGGTTCTACGACAACATCTTGCTCGTACAATCACCGAGCTGAGACAAAAGCTTCAAGAAATGTGGGATTGTTTTAACCAAATTTTTGCCAAAACCTGGTTAACACTATGCTCCAAAGAATTTCAGCCGTAATAAAAATTAATGGTGGTCTTACCCAATGATCTTTCAATTGTTTCTTTTTTAACTTCGCGCATTTATTCGCACATTGTTTATTTGTTCAGATGTTCTATTAGTTATAGGCCTAAGTGATTTCAAATATGTATTTTTTACGACTAGAGTGTATCTAAAATGTTTTTGAGAAAATGAATTGTTTTAGAAGTATATAGTTTCGTGTTTAGTTTATAAAAGCATATTTTGGTACAAATCTTGAAGTGGGCCAAGTGTTAAGCTCACCCACCGTACTTCTCGCGCCATCTAGTGAGCGGCGCTTCAACGCATCAACCGTTTGCTACTGGCCAGGCGGTTACCCTACGTTACCGCTACAGGTTTTTTTGTTACCAACCGGTGACGCAAGAAGAAGAGGGGATGATGGTGCCACGAGAGACAGACATTATTGTTCACGAATATACAAAGTATTGTACCCTACATTTTTCTGTTATAAACCTTCGTAAAGCGAAGAACGTATAGTTATTTCATCGGTAAACCCTCCGAGTGAGTGCTTTACACGTTGGTCCTTCGAGCCACGATCAGTAACGTAAGAAAACGACGAAGTAAAGAAGCCACGCCACACCACGACCACGAAGCCACGCCACGACACGACCACGAAAGCTAAAAGTATTGAAACCAGATGATTGAGTCAGAAATACCTGCTGTAAGTCTGTTCCTTATCACTTCCTTGTCTCGTTGATTCAAAATCAGGTCAATCAGTAGTGCAATCAATCAGTCATATCGTCTAGTTGAAAAAATGATCGATCCAGCTATGGATTCCGATTCCACAAGTGAAACTGCACAGCAGTTACGGCAGCTGCTCATCAAGCGAAGACAAATACAGGGTTCACTAACGCGTTTTATAACGTATCTAGAAAACTTTGATAAAAGTGAAATAATTCAATTAGAGGCGCGTTTAGAGCAGGCCACGGGATTGTTAGACAATTTCAATACAGTACAAGATGAAATAGAGATTCTCAGTGAAACTGAGTTAAGTTCAAGTGAGAGAGCCACCTTTGAAGACAGGTATTACAGCGCAATAGAGAATGCACACAGATACACAAAAGCGAGCAAGCAAATAAACACAGAACCTTCATCAAACGTGGGCCTCTCACATCACCAGTTGCATTCTGTCTCAAATACAAGATTTCCAAATATTGAGTTGCCAAAGTTTCATGGTGAATATGAAAAATGGGGTCAGTTCAGGGATATGTTTTTGGCCTTAGTTGACAGAGATCCTACGTTAGATAATGTCAAAAAATTCTATTATCTGATGAGCTGTTTAAAAGGAGAAGCCGCAAGAGTAATCGAAAACATGGAAGTCACAGGAGAGAATTATGATCATGCATGGCAGTTATTAAAATCTCGATATGAAAATAGTACAGTTATCATAAAGAATCATGTTCGAGAATTAGTTGAAATGCCTTCGGTAACTAGAGATCCTCACTCCCTTAGAAAATTAACAGATGACCTTCAAAAGCATTTGAGGTCATTAACTTCCTTAGGCGAGCCTGTGACACAGTGGAGTACTTTGCTAATTTATTTAATCACAAAAAAACTCGATCCTTCATCGGAAAAGTCGTGGGAGGAGCACGTAATCTCACGTCAAATTGAATCGCCTGGTATAAATGATTTAATCAAATTTTTAAATGCTCGGTGTCAATTGCTTGAGGCCATATCGCGTGAAAAATCTGATAAATCCACAGGCAGAGCACAGAATACATCGGTTAACCACAAGAAACCTGTAAGCTTGAATAGAACATTTTCGGGCGCAGCAATCGAAGCATCATGTGTGTATTGTAACGGTCAGCACGCGATTTACTTGTGCGATAAATTCAAAGCATTACCAGCCGCATCTTTGCGCCAAGAAATTCAAAAATTAAAATTATGTTGGAACTGCCTCCGACAAGGCCACCAGAAGGGTGAATGCCGTTCACGGGGGTGTAAGCGATGTGGCGCCAGACACAACACGCTGTTGCATGAATCATCTCATCACAATGCGGTCCCTGCATCGACGTCGTCTGCCACAGGGTCGGCACTGCTCGCGAGTTCTGAATCAGCGGCTACCAGTGGCGTAGCAATCGCTAAGGGTTCGAGTAGCGCAGTACAAAAAAATGATGATCAGTCGACAGGGTTGCTTGCGGGTAGCTGTGTGGACCTCAAAAACAGAGTTTTATTATCCACGGCGATAATTTTACTCAAAGATGCGGAAGGGCGATGGCACGAATGTCGCGCTTTACTTGATAGCGGATCGCAACCGAACTTCATCACGAAACGCACGGTGGAATTGTTGAAATTAAAGCCTATGAATAGTAGAATACCGGTATTAGGTGTAGGCAGTTCTGTTCCAAAGGCATGTCAAGTGGTATCTACAGAGATAAGGTCTACCTGCACGACGTTTTCTACAAAGCAAACGTTGTTAGTGTTGGAAAAAATAACCGAGAATCAGCCGAGCGTATCTTTCGCCCCAGAAAACTTGCGTATACCGTCCAGCGTACAGTTGGCGGACCCACGTTACCATAAATCGTCAGAAATCAATGTTCTCTTGGGAGCAGGATTGTACTTAGAACTATTGTGTTCTGGTCAGATCCAATTAGGGCCAGGACTACCCGTTTTGCATAACACGGTATTAGGCTGGATTATATCGGGGAAACTTGAGCAGGAACAATCCGATAGTACGGTAGTGTGCAATCTCGCCGTTAGCACGAGACTTGAAAGCCAGATCGAAAAATTTTGGCTCGTAGAAGAAGTCTCTAGACACAAAACAGAAATACCCGAGCACGATGAATGCGAGACTTTATTCAGAAAAACAACGCGACGCGACGAACGCGGACATTTTGTTGTCACCTTACCAATAAAAAACAATGTAACACAACTGGATTGCAACTTACATAACGCGATAACTCGATTACATGCAATGGAGCGAAAATTCAGCAAAAATCCATCATTTCGAGAAGAATATGTCGCGTTCATGAAAGAATACGTGTCGTTGGGCCACATGTCGCGAATAGCTGAAACGGATATTACCCCTAGTATCGGGAATACCTTTTATTTACCTCATCACGGAGTATCGAACCCAGCGAGTACAACGACAAAATTGCGCGTTGTATTCGACGGTTCAAGCAAATCAAATAGCGGATTATCGTTAAACGACACATTGATTATCGGGCCTAAGATCCAACAAGACCTGTTTGACATCCTAGTGCGATTTCGAAAATATAGCGTAGTGTTGGTTGCTGACATTGCCAAAATGTATCGGCAAGTAGGTGTTGAAGAAGGTCAGCGTGACTTGCAGCGAATTGTATGGCGTGAAAACACAAGTGAAGACATAGCTCATTATAAGTTAAATACAATCACGTACGGCACGGCATCGGCATCTTTTCTCGCAGTTCGCTGTTTACAACAAGTTGGTCAAGATAATCTCGAAAAGTATCCTAAGACTAGTAAAGTTATCCTAAATGACTTTTACGTCGATGACCTGATCAGTGGATCAGACTCGGTAGATGACGCAAAGCAGTTAAAAAATGAATTAGCCGCTATACTTGACTCGTATGGGTTCCCGTTGAGGAAATGGTTGTCAAACCGCGTCGAGGCGTTAGAGCAAACAGTTAACAACGAATCTAATACGTTTCAGCTGAATAACGATGAGACGCGCAAAACATTGGGTGTATTTTGGAATGCCCAATCTGATGTATTCAAATATACAGTCGAAATAGATCAGTTCGTACTAAAGCGCATCACGAAACGAGGTATTTTATCCGCCATCTCGAAGATATTCGACCCGTTAGGGATACTCAGCCCAGTGACCGTAACCGTGAAGTTGATGATACAAGAGCTTTGGCAGTTAAAAGCGGGATGGGATGACATAGTCACTCCTAAGGTTTCAAAAGGTTGGACTAAGTTCATAAGTGAGTTATCGTCTATACAAGAAATCGAAACACCCCGACAAATTATTATGACAAACGCAACTCGAATCGAGATTCACGCATTTTGCGACTCATCACAGCGGGCATACGGCGCGAATCTTTATGTAAAAAGTACCGGACCACAAGGTTCAACCGTAAATTTGCTGTGTTCAAGATCTCGGGTTGCACCGTTAAAGGCTATAAGTCTGCCACGGCTCGAGTTATGTGGAGCACTCCTAATGGTACGGTTGGTTAGTAGAGTCATGCAAACTATTGATACGCACATTAATCAGATTTTCTACTGGACAGACAGCACAATAGTCCTGTCCTGGATCTCGGCTCCACCTATCAAGTGGAAACAGTTCGTAGCGAACCGTGTCACAGAAATACAGAATGTAAGTAATATAACCCAGTGGAATCATATCTCGTCTCAGGATAATCCTGCAGACATCGTGTCGCGAGGTCTCAGGGCCCCCGAACTCGCTACATGTGAGCTCTGGTGGCATGGGCCATCATGGTTAGCTGAGGACGAGCAGTCCTGGCCAAGACCTAGTTTTAAAACTGCATCCAATATTGAAAATAGTGTTTTGGAGGCACGAAAGTGTCAGATCTCGCTAGTTGCGCGTACCGTTGACCATACTATTTTCGAAAGAGGTGCGACCTTATATAGACTGCAAAAAATCATAGCCTTCTGTAAGCGATTTACACACAACGCAACATCGCCACCTGCCCACCGCAAATCAGGTCCCATAACTAACGAAGAATTTAATGAAGCACTACTTATCTTAGTCAGGCAAGCTCAAGCCCAAGACTTCACCACGGAAATGGAATGTTTATCTCGGAATAAGAACTTGCCTAAGATCTCGCGGATCCAAAATTTAAGTCCATTCCTCGACCAACAAGGTTATTTGCGGGTTGGAGGCCGTTTGACCAAGTCTGACTTACCATTTGAAACCCGACATCCTCTTATATTAGGCTCAAAGCATCGCCTTACTGTGTTATTGATTAAGCACGAGCATCACCGGCAGCTACATGCGGGAGCGCAAGCTATTTTAAGTTCACTAAGACAGCGTTTTTGGCCAATTGGTGGAAAAAGTACTGTCAGAAACGTCTTGAATAAGTGTTTGACCTGTTTTCGAGTGAATCCTACCACGATTGTACGCAAAATGGCGGATCTGCCGAAGGATCGAGTCACCGTCAATCGGGCCTTTTTGATAACGGGAATAGACTACGCTGGACCCTTTCAAATAAAAGATGGCCGCCTACGGAACCGTGCTATAATTAAAGCCTATTTGTGTATCTTTGTATGCTTTACCACTAAAGCAGTACATTTGGAAACAGTGAGTGATCTTAGTGCCGACTCATTTCTTGGCTGCTTAACTAGGTTCACGTCCCGTCGAGGTTTACCTCGGATTTTATACACCGATAATGCAACTAATTTTGTTGGTGCTCATAATAAATTGAAAGAAATTTATGACGCACTTGTTTTAAATATTCAAGACCCCAGTGTAGTCAACTTTTTCCTAACCAACAATACTGAATGGAAATTTATTCCGCCGCGATGTCCCCACCGTGGAGGCTTGTGGGAGGCTGCCGTAAAGCGTGCCAAGTTCCACCTATCTCGCGTACTTGGAAAGAAAATCTATACTTTTGAACAGCTAACCACAATATTTGCGCAAGTGGAAGCTATATTGAATTCGCGTCCTCTGACACCCCTTTCTGCTGACCCTTCCGATTTGTCTACCCTCACACCCGGCCATTTCCTTATCCACGAACCCTTAACTACCATCCCATACACAGACTTGACGACTACACCGATGAATCGGCTGACTCAATACCAATGCCTACAGCAAGCTTACCAACTGTTTTGGCATAGATGGTCCAAGGAGTACCTTCAACTATTGCAAGTTCGGACCAAATAGCTCAAGGCGGATACGCAAGAAATTCATGAGGGAAAGCTAGTTTTACTTCTCGACGACAACCTGCCTCCCATGCTATGGAAACTGGGACGCATCACCAAACTACACCATGGACAAGATGGAGTTGCCCGCACTGTAACCGTGCGCACTGTCAATGGAGAAACCACGAGAGCTGTGCAGAGAGTAGCCCTTCTACCAGTTGAAGATTTTCCTAAGAACAGTGTTGAAAGCCCTGCTCATCAGGATCTTTCAAGGCCGCCGGTATGTTAAGCTCACCCACCGTACTTCTCGCGCCATCTAGTGAGCGGCGCTTCAACGCATCAACCGTTTGCTACTGGCCAGGCGGTTACCCTACGTTACCGCTACAGGTTTTTTTGTTACCAACCGGTGACGCAAGAAGAAGAGGGGATGATGGTGCCACGAGAGACAGACATTATTGTTCACGTATATACAAAGTATTGTACCCTACATTTTTCTGTTATAAACCTTCGTAAAGCGAAGAACGTATAGTTATTTCATCGGTAAACCCTCCGAGTGAGTGCTTTACACCAAGTGAAGTGGGAAGGGGCTCGTATATTTGATCCACCCTCGCATATAGTTCTGGTAGTATCTTTGCAACTATTTGGAAACATATTTGTATTCAGATTTTTAGCATAATGTGATTTAACAAATCCTCATTTTTTAGGATATTCAGGACATTCTGATCAAAGGTAATTTAGTTTTTTTCTGTAAACTTGATAGTTTTCGAGATATAAGTGTATTTGGAACATCATAATTTCGGCTACTTCCACAACAATACAAAACGACAGGGTGACAATTCCCATGCCAATTTATATTTTATGGTTCTAAAAGTAATTCAGCACCTCCAAATGATTGCAGAAAGTGGTCGATTCAGCATTCAAAATCTATTAAAAACGGTAGCCAACCTACATGATTGTGCAAGCTGCCATTCACTACCCTACCAGAATACTGCTATTCATTTCCTAGGAATTCAGGAATTTCCTAAAAGAATAAAACTTGGACCGGGAAAAGCTACGAAGTTCTCGAGGAATGTGGAGAGGCTATTAATCATACTTTGAAACCAATAAAACTTAATGAGTTTTTGCATAATCATAGCAAAGCGATGGTATATTCAACTTCAGAACTGATCGAGGAGACCCAATTCGGCGGTTACTTTTTAAAGTATTTTGTATTTAACTCTGTGATTATTAATAAAATGTATCCACTCAATCAGTTCGGCACGTTAACTACCAAAGGGAGCAATTTGTCATTTCGATGGCTGATTTTTTACTTCCCATGCCACTGGCGAGGACCTATATGTGTCGCTGTGTATCGGTCTGTCGCTCTCTGTCCTTGGTCCGCATAACTTGCACAGTACCAATTGGCTTTCGATGAATTTCTGGCATGATAGGAACAAAGAAGTACTACAGTGTTTTAAAATCGGTGGCGAAGCTAGGTGTATGAAATGATAATAATAACTGCTCAAACTTCATTTTTTGACATCATTTTGAAACTCTTTTGTAGCGGTTAAAAATTAGAGGCTGAAATTGAAGGGGGTAGGAGAGAGTATAGTTCAATCATTGTAGGTTTTATATTCATACGTTCCCAACCCTGTCAATCTGTCTCCTTTCATTTTCTTTTAAAACGTGGAGAAATATCAATCGGACGTGTCGCATCTAGATCTATCCACCCACAAAATCGCATCTGCGACAGCCGTTTAATGTCTCACCTCCACACTGCTCGCGCTGACTAGCTGAGGTTGCCAGATTGTCGATACTTTCAGTAGCGGCTAGGAAAAAGTGTTTAGACCGCAGCGTTGTCAAATGGGTAAGACTATGGACCAATTGTATGAGCCTCGTTGGCCCACTTGATCCATTCATTCTTTTTTGTATTATACATGTCCGTATCTGATTTTATTTTTCAGTGATACATACTCAATCTACACGCACATTATATTCTGAGGCGCATAGTGCTCACTGAATAATTGCATACTCCTCCACCAAGGTTTGGAATGTATTATTATTTATCTGATGGTTATAAAACGATGATGGCATGATAAATATGAGAAAACAACAATCTCACCTTGAAAGCGTATGGAGTACATTTTCACTTCTATTACAAGGGTAGCAAAATCGTTTTAAGTACCTTCCATAAGCTACCGACTGCTGTGTAGTCATTATGTCAATTTGCTGTGTTGATATTGATCATAAAGAAATGCAATACTGGATATGATATTTCTCAATTAAATATTAAAACACATTGCCTGGGGACACGGTAGTATCCTACCACATGGAAGTCACCCCGATATGGATACCCTATTAATCTGGTGCTTTGATATGCCAAGTCTAAGAGCCAAGACCTTATGTTGCCGTGTGAATACCCAGGAGCTACGACGTTACATCTGCATCAGAGATAACGGAGCAGCATGATAACTTTAAAGTAACAATCCCTATACACATACACATGAGATCCTTCAAATTGTCACGAAAGGAAGCCAGGAGGTTCACACATACCTAGAACGTCAAGTCAAAAATCACAAGACACAAACATTTCGACATTTAAACTGTTAGAACAATAGTCAAATGAACTAAGAGGGTCTGTGCCTCAGCGTGCCCCTTTTTTCACGATTATGCGTGAAATTTTTTCAGGGTTATAAGTGGTTGCTGAAATGTCTATACAAGCAGTGTCCTTTGTAGCGTTCCAAGTATCAGGTGAACCTTTTACAGAAAAGTGTCTAAATTATTACGTATGCTTACACACTTAATTTATTTTTACATCTACTAAACTATTAGGGTAATAACTTAGCGACCACTGTGTTGGAAGCGAAAAGCAATGAATTATAGAAGGCATATTCATAATAACCTTTTGAAAGTATGTCTATGTACGGCACTATAGCGAGGCATGGCTTGTTTAGATAAAGCTCGACTAAAGCTTTGTTGAAGCGAATTCGTTTTCATGCTGATGTGAAGCTTTACGAGCGCAGTGTTCTGCAACTATATTGGAATCAACTATTCATTCGTGAGAAAATGATACAATATTCATTTAGCCTGTTGATGCGAGACATGTTTATCGAACACTAATCCATTAGCCCGTATGTACTATATGCAAAGCAGGGATAATATTGCGTGAAGTTTCGAATGACAAACTCGTCAATGTTCCTTCCATTCAACGCCGTCACCTGTTAATAAAGGATTGTTTTCGGCGGAAGTCAGATCCTGTGGGAAGAAAATTACTTACGAACATGTGCAACAGAGAAACTAAATGGATCAAGTCAATCAAACAGGCCCATACTTTTAGTTCTATAAACATTCTTTCCCTACTTAATCGGTCGTTACCGTCCATCTGGCAACGCTGCCCGTTCTCAAATCATCAGACGCGACAGCGTTTATCGAAGTACCTCCACAAATAACAGAATGAGACGTGTATCAAAAGCATTTCTCCAATATTCTGGGTTTCAAAATAAAATGTACAGGGAGTACTCCCGTTTAACTTTTATACGAGGGATGTCTTTTAAGTTTTGCATATGGAAATAAAGCAACACGGTAGGTAGTTTTAAATGACTTTACTATTTTTCGAAGTATTCTCCACGAAGATTAATACACATCTGCATGCGCTTGAACCAATTTTCGAAGCACTTATTCCACTCGTTTGCTGGCAGACCCAAAACGCCATTTTTGAATGCGTCAACTGCTTCTTCTGGTGACTGGAACCTTTGACCAGGCAGCCTGTTTTTAATTTTCGGGAACGTAAAGAAATCGATAGGACTTAGATCGGGACTGTATTGAGGATGGTCCAATAATTCCACGTTCTCTTCCGTTAAATACTGCCTCGTCTTTTGGGCTGTGTGCGAGCTTGCATTGTCTTGGTGGAGGATGATTCTTCTTTCGGGGATGATTTTTCGAAGCTCGGAGATGACTTTTGGCAAACAAATGGTGGTATACCAATCCGCAGTTACCGTTCTTTGCTCATTAAGAGGAATTGTTACAATATCACCCGCTTTTGACACAAATGTCACGACCATCTTTTTCGAAACACTTCGAGAACGGATGACTTTTGTTGTCTTTTCTTCACGTTGGAACACCCAAACAGCCAACCACTAACAATGCTGAACACATTTTTTGACTTTCCCAAATTGAAACGGTCAAGCGTTTTTTGATACCAATTAACCCTGGCTGATCCCTGGTCTTCAGTCAACAGGTGGGGTATCCAACGAGAAATTATTTTGCTTACTCCTAATTGTTCATGTAAAATTTTTTGAATTGAGGTCGCTAAGATCTTCAAGGACGCCTCAATCTCGCGATATGTCACATGTCTATCTTCAATAATGAGTTTGCGCACAGCATCGACGTTTTCCTGGGTGACTGCCGTTTTTGGTGCACCCACCCTGGAATCGTCGCTAAAACTCACCCGTCCACGTTTGAATTCTCCATACCAACGGGACCCGATGTGGCGCCTCGTTGCCGAAAACACAGTAGCTCAGCAAGGCATTCTTGTTGCGATAATTGTCTCTGAAAGTTGTAATAAATTATGGCGCGAAAATGTTTTCGGTTGAGTTCCATGTTTCTAATGACTTGGTGACACTTAAAAATTCACTGTAGTGAGATCACTGCACGTATTGTTGTGAAACTTTGAATTTAAGTTTACTAAAGAGTGAGATTAAGATTCAGTACTGACGTTCGATCCGCGCGGCCTACTATGTTTCTATATCCAAAACTTAAAAGGCATGCCTCGTATATGACCTTCCAGAAGAAAAAGCTGTAGATAAAAGTTATAGGGTCTAGTATGAAGTTTTTCAGGTAATATTGTTTTAGATGCAGTCGCAGAAAAGTGCTATCGAAGAAAGTTGTATTTCTTAAATGGAAAACCCTGTATATTTTCAGAAAAAATAATATCCCTTATTTTTCTGATTCAAAATAAATATGACTTAGCATACCTATTAACATTAGTTTGGCCAATAACTCAAAGTTTATTGAACATTTCTCAGATGGTGTAGTATATACCGTCATTCTATACTTTTTATCATAATTTATATCCGGAACGCCTGCATATGTCGTACGTTTCAACATTTATAATCAACGGTTGACGATATTTTGAATAACTAAAATCATGTTCCCGCTCGCGGCCCTCCAGTGCACCTGGAGAGTTAATTTTCTTACAAGCTGCTATGGAGTAGCTCAAATAGCCATAATTATATTAAAAGGTTAATCAGTCAGAGCATTTATTTTCATTATATTGTAAGTTTTGAGCAATTTAAATTTAGAAATATTATTTTATATTTTCTCAAACAACAGTACAATAATTCTGTTTCACTATCCTACATCAAGAATAATTCATCAAAATGTGCAATGCCTTAGTAACAAACTACTTGAGCTGGAAGTGTTTCTAAATGAAACTAACTGTGATATATTTTGTGTTTCCAAGCACTGGGCAAATTCTGAC